CCGACGATCGTGCACGCGGCGCGCACACACCTAATGGAATGGATATGAGCAAGCACTCGAAGAAGAACTGTTGTTCTTCAAGATGTGTTCCACTATTAGTGCGCATGAGCCCAGTGCACGACCAAACAGATTCTTGGACTACAACGTCCATTGCAGCAGTGTCTGCACCCTGAGTGTCCTCACACATTGAACTGAAGGCATAAAGAGTGGGCCACCCCAACCGCCCCTCTGTTCCTTTGCCATACAGAAACTTCTTAATAGACTCTGTAGTAACAGGGATGTGGTGGGGCAGATCTTTGGGGGGAGGGTGTGTGTGTGTGTGTGTGTGTGTGTGTGTATACACACACACACAGTAATGCAAGTACGGCGGTATGCTCCAGTACGCCGTACCACCAAGGTATTTATAGCTGATACGGCATACTGGAAAGACACAGGAGGAGCCGTGGGCCCCACACCGGCAGCTCCTCTGGTGCAACTGTACCACCCCCAGCCCCGCTCCCTGCCCTTCCATGGAGCTGCGTCTCCTCCATCTGTACAGCAGCAGCCCCGCTGGAGGACAGGGCTGGGGGGACAGGGCAGGGGGTGGTACAGCCGCCAGAGGAGCTGCTGCCATTCTGCTCCTTTCCCCGCTGCGGTTCCCATAACTACAATGTTAAGCGAGGAGTGACTGTACTCTGAACATTTAACCACAGAAACAACTTACAAAGACAAAAGCTTTGCATTCAGAGTGCATGTGATGAAAGGATCAAAGACCAACAACCTTCTCAGCTCCGGCATGGCAGCCATGATGGGCCTAATGAGAAAGGTGGAAGAATTCAACGGAGGATTTGATTATATTGGACTTTTGAAAGGAGATCCAGTACAATTAAACTTAAAAGACAATGCTGAACCATACCATGTACAAACACCTCTACCAGACAGACCTTGGAAAAGACTAGCTTAAGATTTACACAAATTCAGAGGACATCATTACATCGTAGTGGACTATTTTTCCAGGTACATAGAATTAATGAACTTGAAAGAACAAACATGTTGCAGTGTTATCAAGAAGTTGAAGTGCACTTTTGCTTACTTTGGTATTCCAGAATAACTAATGATGGACAACAGAGCACAATTCACTGCAGCAGAATTGTAGTCATTCCAAACAAAATATGATTTTGATCGTATTACTAGCAGCCAAAATCACCAAAAGCAAATGGAGAAGCTGAGAGAGCTGTAAAGACAGCCAAGAAAATCCAACAGTAGGAAGAGCCACTCCTTGCTCTTCTCAATTACAGATGAACGCCAATAGCAGTTACTAGATATACTCCAACACAACTCCTGATAGGAAGGCAATTCAGAACTACTATTCCAACTTTGGAAAAAAATCATATCTCCAAAGTGACTAGCCACAAAGAGTAGCCAAATCAGATAAAAAGGAAAAAAGAACTTATGATCACTTTTCCAACAGACAACACTCAGAGAACTGCCGGGTCTAGAACATGTTGAACGTCTTCAGGGTCATCCCTGGAGGGGAGGGGGTGAGCCCTGGGGCAGAAGTCACGCATCCATCACTTCCGGGACCGACCGCGCCGGCCCATGGGGCCCCCAAAGCATGGGGCCCAGAGCGGTCCCCCCATTCGCCGTACCCAAGGGACAATTCTGATCATGTTCATCTCAAATTGGATGGAGAAAAAGGATGGACAACTCCAGCTGTCAAAGAAAAAATAATTCAGCATCCAGATCATTTGTGATCAAGACTACAGTAGAGAGATCAACAGAAATCATCGACATCTACAGTTTGTTCCTCAGAAAGCAAAACCAACAGAGCTGACGAAAGAAGAACAAGAAGATGACTAATGGACAGCCAGATGACTAAGCTGTTATGCTTTCAAATCATGTAATTAAAAACCAGCATAATTCATAGACATGTAACAGACCGATCCATATTGAACTTCAAAGATACCGTGATAGTGTACATTTTGTAAATGGTAGGAATGTAGAATTTAAAGGGAGATATGTAATAGAATGCTAACCTGTATTGTACAGTTCAGCCACTAGGTGGCACTGTGTGTAACATACTTTATTTAAGCTAAACTCAGCCATACCCGGCATAACATTAAAGGATCTTATAGTGAACACATCAGGTCTGCATCTGTCTGAGAAGGAAGCTCTGGCCAGTCCAAATCTGGTACAGGAGCATGACCTGCAACTTACTATATACAATACATGACAAAGAGTAAGAAAAAGATATAAAGGAAGGAGGAGGAGAGGAGGAGTTAAGGAGAGAGAAGTGGTAAATCAATTACTTAAGTCAATTAAGCCCTGTCATCAGCAAAGGACAGCAGAAGTTGGACACTGACCTGTAATGACATCTTCAATTTTTTGCTTGGCAAGCGGCTCCTTCATCCTTTGTAACAGAAACTCGATGTGGAGTAAGATGATTTTTCCGAGGTCAGGTGAGGACGCAAACCGCCCAGAGATGGACTTCAGAAAATCAAAACCAACCAATTCCCTATTCACAGAGATGCATTTTTAATGGAGTTGTGCAGAAGGAGCTGTTGACTTCCCATTCTGCCCAATATATACATCTCATAAAATCTGTTTTTCACAAAAAAGAATCTAGATGGTTTAACCCAGTGATTCTCCAGCTTTTTCATTCTGAGGACCAGTTCATAGCAGAAAGATGCTCCACCACTTCTATGAGCCACCCTCAATTCCTGACTCTCAAAGGCTCTGTGGATCCCTTGCGGTCAACAAAGCAGACTGGGAACTAGTGCCCTAACCAGTAAATGCTCATTTGGCTCCAGGACAGCCCTGTAACATGTCAGTCCATAAACATCTACATTTAAGAAACATTCAAAGTCTGGTTAACCCTTCCAAAAGGAAATAAATCCAGTATTAAGGCTAAAATTCTATCCTCGATAGCCTATGTGATTCCAAGATATGTATCCCGCATAAACACAGAGGGAGAAACAGAGGACAGCAGTGTGGAAATGGGACTTCCCTGTTCACAGACATATTGCTTATAACCTAACCTCTTTTATGGGTTTGTTTCCAGAACTGCAGGCCCCAAGAATAGTATTTCAAGGGTGTAAGCCCTTGTTTAAGACAGTCTGGAAATGTATTATCACATAGGGGACAAGAGTTTGGCATTATGCTCAATCCTTTGCTGGCAGGTCATAGAAGCACTATGGGATAACATGTTCAAACCCCACAGAAGGGAGCCCTTTTTAACACCCTCAAGAGAACTGTATCTGTGGTCACAGTGTCCATGGAGTAAATGGGAGAATCCTGGAGGAGACACCCTCAAAATAGCTTTTGTTGGTCCATCATAGCTTTCCTGATGGCTGCCAGAAATCTCCCTTTGCTCCTCTTCTGACATTGTCTTATCTAACTGTTGAAAGATAGGCAAAATACATGCCAACACAACTTCATGACTGGGGCCCAAAAAAGTATAATCTCCTTCCTCAGAGCCTCAAGCACATCACATCAGTGCCTGAACTCACATGCCAGAGAAACAACTGGCACAAGTTGCTCTGAACCAACGTCTCACACTTCAGTGCACAGTAGTACTGCCAAACTACCTGAACTCGGATGACCTGACAACAGGAATTTGTAATGGAAACTTAAAACAGGCCTTGAACTACAGCATCTCTCCAGATAAAAGGCAATAGCTATAAATATAGCACCCCTGATTCAACATTCATCCTGAGCTGTGCTTGGACAGAGTGGAGGAAGCAGCTCCCCAAGTCAGGGCTGCCAAGCCTTAATTTGTGCCTTGGCTACACAGGGACAACCTACTATGCCAATGTAGGATAAGGTGTAGCAACTCTCTCTTTCATCACAACTCACACTGTATCATGCCCTGACACACTATTTCTACAACTTAGCTCTCCTGTTGTTGGGTATCACTTTGTAAGAATACTGGGAAGCCCAGGCAATGTATGTTCTCCCTCAAGTAGGGGGTGCTGAAGTTCTGTACCTCTCATGTTCCAGAAGCAGCTTAGCAGTGTTCAAACAGAAATCTAGTGACACCTCATGATGCAGAAGTTCAGCAATAGCTAGAGAGAAGAAAAAATGGGGATTACTGAGTCACTGAGGAAATTTATCTGCTCACTGTAAAGATATGGGCTGTCTCTATATTCCCCCATGCAGACTGGCATGGTGTCGTGGGTGTGCTCCACTTTAATTTCCCCCAATTGGGACAGCATTAGGTTTGCTTTAACAGCCTGGGGCAAGGAGAAGCCAGCACGCATGAACAAAATAGCTTGTCCCCTTTTCATAAGGTTTCAGGACAACAATTACAATAAACTGTTCATAAGGTCCTCATCTAAGGACCGCAGATCAGAGCTCCCATACTTAAAAATCCACAAAACAAAGTCTGAGTCTAGCTTAACCAGTCTCCTGGAGCCTCAGATTAAAAAAACACCAGCCACTGCAGCCTGCCTAGCTTCTACTCTCCTGTTCTCTACTTAACTTCCTGTTCCTGTTTAAATAGCCCAGTCTTAGTGCAAGGCAGGGCCTCCTTGATTACACTCCAGGCTGTTCCAGCCTGTCCCATAAAGTACATTCCTTCACACTCACTCTCAAGTCTTTTGTCTTCTTAGGAAAAAAATCATAATTCTAAAACTAGGCAACTGTTAAACATGTTCTTCATGTTTTCATTTTCTTTTCATGTTTTCAAAATAAATTTGGGGCTAGTGAAAGGTGCCAAATTGACAGCTCTGGAGACTCAAGTCCTCTGTCTCTCATAAGAACACAAACAGAAAGGACAACAACAATGCAAGCTTCCTCCTCAAGCTGTCCCTTCACAATGTGCCTCCACCCTGGCCTGGAGGGACCACTTCAATGACTGTGGGGAGTTCAGTCTCTGTGGACTCTCAGTTAAGACTGCAACCAAAGAGCAAGTTAGCATGATGGTGGGTTTTGGACACCTGTCCCTAGAAATAGGACTAAAATTCCTCAACAGCCATCTGAAGGTGAGTTTCAATCTGCCAGAATTCAAACCAGTTACCTGGAGACCAAAATTTATTTCTGGAAGTGCCCACCATGTACCCAGTGCTTTCCAGAGAAGACAGCACAGTGCCTTCCTTGAACAGCTCATCATCTATGAACAGAAAGTTCTTCCTGAGCCACCAAGTTTTCTGAATTCAAATCCTTTCTGAAGACACTCTTCTGCTGTGATACCACCAGAGAAACCAATTGACTTATACTGTGCTGACAAGTCTGAGGAGCAAGTAAGAATAGTTTATATATCCTGTATGAAACAAACAAACCTGTGTTAACATAAGAAGTTACTCACCCTGTGTGGTAACAATGGTTCTTCAATGTGTGTGTCCCTATGGGTGCTCCACTGCAGGTGTGTCTGCATCCCTGAGCTGCTGATTGGAGAACTTTGGTAGCAGTGTCTGTTGGGCCCGCACACGCGCTGTCTCTCCTCGTGCTGTGCCATGAGGCTAGCCAGTGCATGTGGGCTAACCTTCCTCAGTTCCTTCTCTACTGCAGAGTCATAATGAGAACTCCAAAGTAGATGGGAGGAGGGCGGGTAGTGGAGAACATCTTGAAGAACCATCGTTACTGAACAGGGTGAGTAACTTCTTCTTCAAGTAGTGTCCCTGTGGGTGTTCCTCTGGAGGGCTGGGACTTCAGAGTCGGATTGGTCACAGAAGAAAGAACAGTGGAGCCAAATATGGTATGAGGCAGAGTCCTCAGTGGTCGCATAACGTTCTGCGAAGGTATGGACTGAAGCACAAGTCGCCACTCTGCAGATCTCCCAGATGGGGACATGCTTTAAGAAGGCAACAGATGAAGAGACCGATCTTGTGGAGTATGTACAGATCGAGTCCAGAGGGGTCATGTAACAAATCTGGTAGAACTCTCTAACACAATTCAAGACCCACTTAGAAAGTTATTGGGCTGATATCACTGACCTTTCTGGCATAGAGAGAAACAATCTAGGGGATTACCTGAAGGCTTCTGTCCTATCGAGGTAGAATGCAAGGGCTCTCCTAATGTCCAGGGTATGTAGTATGGCCTTCCTAATTTCCCAGTGAGGCTTGGGGTAGAAGGTGGGAAGGTGAATAGACTGGTTCATGTGGAATGAGGAGGTCACTTTAGGCAGGAACTTTAGATGTGGCCTAAGTGTGACCTTGTCTGGGAAGAATACCATGTACGGAGGATGTGTCATTGAAGCTGCTATCTCCCCTATTCTTTTAGCCCAGGTAATTGCGACTAGAAAGACCGTTTTCATCAACAGATAAGTTAGTGAACAGGTGGCCATGGGTTCAAACGAGGGCCTAGTCAGCCCTTTTATACTAGATTTAGGTCCCAAGTGGGGGAGGGAAGTCTAGGCTGAGGGAAGAGGTTTGTTATTCCTTTCAGGAACCTTTTTATGGTTAGGTGCAAAATTACTGAGTACCCCTCTATGGAATGGTGAAATACAGAGGTGGACTCAGAGAGCTCAGAGATAGTCCTGATTTTTTAAGGGTGAGGGCATATTTCAGAATATGCGGAAGAGTTGTCAACTCTAGACAGAATTGCTGGGACATGCACCAAATCTGGAACCTGGACCACTTCTGCATGTAAGTGCATTGTGTGGAGGACTTTCTACTGTGTAGTAGGAGCTCCTGAGCTTCCTTTGAGCATGAGCTTTCTAGGAGTTGGAACCACCTAGGGGCCATGCTTTGAGTCAGAGGATCCCCAAGTTGGGATGCATGGTGCGCCCTTTGTCCTGTGTGAGGAGGTGTGGGATGGTCAAAAGGGAGATCAGCGCACATCACAAGCTGCATTAGGTAAGGGTATCAGGTCTGTCTTGGCCAGATAGGGGTGATCAGAATCATGTGAGGCCTATCCTCTTTATCTTGAGCAGGACCTTCAGCAGAAGAGGAAACAGAGGGAAGGTATAAAGAAGGTCCTTGTCCCATGGAAAGAGGAGAGCATTGCCTAGAGATCGCTGTCCAATCACCACCCTGGAACAGTATTGTGGACACTTCTTGTTCTGGTAAGTGGCAAACAGATCAGTGGACAGTGTTCCCCGCCGTGTGAACAAGCCCTGAAGTACTGATGGGTACATCTCCCACTCATGGTCGTGCAGGAATGTGCAACTGAGTTTGTATGCTATCGTATTTTGCGTGCCAGGGAGGTAAGCTGTGGACCAGGTGAGCTTGTGAGAGATGCACCAATTCCACAGTTTCATCACCTCTGCGCATAGAGAGGTGATCAGGCTCCTCCTTGGAGATTTATGTAATCCATGCAGGCTATGTTGTCCGTCTGGACCTTTATATGTGAGCCTGCTATCAGCAGGAGGAAATTGGTACAGGCGTTCCTGACCGCTCTCAGTTTGAGGAGATTGATATGAAGGGAGCTCTCTGCCGGTGACCATTTGCCTTGTGCTGTGAGACTGTTTAAATGTGCGCCTCATCCTAGGAGGGATGTGTCCGTGGTAAGGAGTGACAAAGGTAGCCCCTGTAGGGAGAGGATCCCTTTGCATGCATTGGTTGGGTCTTTTCACCAGTCCAGGGAGTTTTTGACCCTGGTGGGTAGTTACGGGGTTTGGCCAGACTGTCCCTGTTCAGTCTGTAAACCGAGCTGAACCACAGCTGTAGGCATCACGTGAAGTCTGGCGTGAGGAATCACCGCCATGCCGGCAGCCATATGCCCCAGAAGCTGGAGGCAGGTTCTGGCTGGCACTTGAGGGCTGTATTGAGTCGTGTCTATAAGAGATACCAGGGAGTGAAATCTATCCTGAGGTAGGAAGGCTTTGGCTTGTAGTGCGTCTAGGTCGGCCCCTCTAAATTCCAGGTATTGCACTGGCATAAGGGTTGACTTCTGCGAGTTGATTTGTAGTCCCAGATCTTTGAACAAGGTTATTGTCTCTCCAGTGGCTCCATGAGCCTCCTGAAGCAACCAGACTCTGAGGAGACAATCGTCTAGGTAAGGATAGATCATCATCCCTTGAGATCTTAAATGGGTGACCACCACTGAGAACTTTGGAAAATACTGTACTCTCGGGGTCGATGAAAGTCCAAAGGGAAGGACTCTGTATTGGTAATGGTTGTTCCCCAGAGTGAACCTGAGGAAACATCTGAGAGCCAATAGTATTGAGATGTGAAAATAGGCATCTTGTGAGTTGAGGGCTGAAAACCAGTCTCCGTGTTCCAGTGATGGAATGATCGTCAATAGTGTGACCATCTTGAATGTCTCAGTTTTGACAAACTTGTTGAGAGTTCTTAGGTCCAGGATGGGTCTCCAACCTCCCTTTTGGGTATTAAGAAGTACCAAGAGTAGAACCCCTAGCCTCGTAGATGTTGAGGTACTGGTTCTATGGCTCCTAACTGCAGGAGGCAGTCTATGTCCTGCCATAGTAGACTCTTGTGAGAAGGGTCCCTGAAGAGGGACAGGGAAGACTGTTGTGGAGGAGGTAGGAAGTGAAATGGATGGAATATCCAGATCTGACAATCTCTAGGACTCATCTGTCCAATGTTACGTGCTCCCAGGCACTGCGGAATGCTGCCAAACAGTGGCCAAATAGGTGTGTGGTCACAGGTGATAGTGAGGAGTGGTCTCATGGAGCCTCGACCTCCTCGTCAAAAGTGGTGCTTAGGGGCAGGCGGTTAGGCCAAGGACTGGGAGCCTGAGGGCTTCCACTTCGAGAATCTCCCCTTCTTCCTCTGGGGCTCATAGTGCTGCTGCACGGGGAACAGTGCTGAATACTGCCTGTGTTGGTATTGTGAGCTGAATCGTCTCTTTTGCACCAGTGTATAAACTCCCAGTGATCTCAGAGTGGCCCTGGAATCCTTCAGGGAGTGGAGGGAGGCATCAGTCTTCTTGGCGATTCCTTTGTGGGGACACAATATTTTTTGTCCACTTGCTTGCAAGTTGGAACTATCGAGGCCTGGGGTTCCCACACTGCCTTAGCAGGGTCAAGGATGGCCTCATTAATTGGGAGGATGACTGGAGGTGGATGAGACGTGGAGGATATCAATAAGTTGGTGGTGCGTATCCTTAACCTCCTCCAATGGTATATGGAGGGTGTCGGCCACTCTCTTTGCCAGCTCCTGGAATAGGAGAAAATCGTCTGTTCTGGAAGGCTGTGATGGCATGACCGCTTCGTCTGGCGAAGAGAAGAATATGGCATTGGGTACAATCGCCTCCTCAGCATCCATCTCCTGCTCCACAACTTGTAAGGGTACTGAGGCTCATGATGCTATAGCTGAGGGAGGCAGTCTGTGAGGATCTCGGATGACAGACGGTGCCCTGGAGGAAGGCTGGCGATGAGCTGTCCAAGCGGTCCCTGTAGGGCCACTGTGGTGGCATAGGGCCTGGTGGAGGTGCACATGGGTGACCATACCAGGATGGCAGCAGTGTCATCTGGTGATACATTCTTGGACTCTGTTGGTATTGGGTCCCATATGGAGCCCAGGAGGAGTACTCAGAAGCCCCATCTGACTCACTGTCAGATCCTTTGCTTGACCATGGAGGAGCGTAGTAGGATTGTAGGGAAATACCTCTTGAGCGACCCTAGCTCGGTGCCATCCTCTGAGTACTGAGAGGTGGTGAGTTCGGAACTTCCAATATAACCAGGTCCCCGGTCTGCTGGAGTTCTGTCGGCACCGAGCATCCCAGGATCGGTGGCGGTGCCAGAGGGGATGGAGACCTTGCCCATACCGATCTGTCTGGTGCCAGGTAGGTCGGTGCCACTGGTAGTACCAATGACTGTTCACAATCTGGAGCAGTTTAGGGCATTTGCCCTTATCCTTCCGTACCAGAGACTCAGTGCCCATGCCCAAAGGTTCCGTGAGCCTATCAGCAGCTCCAGGTGCCAACGGTCACTGTGAGGTATGGGTACCGGACGATCTCAGTGCCTGCAGTGCCAAGGATACTGAGCGAGATGGTGATCTATTTCAGTTATCCCTGGGCTCGCTGAGGAGACTTCCCATTCTCCTCTTTAGAGTTTGAAAGGAGTTCCCAGACCGCTTTCTCGACCCACTATCCTTTGAAGTCGAAGACTGGGAGGAAGACTCACGCCTGGCTGGGGACTGTGGTAGGGTGACCAGATGTCCCGATTTTATAGGGACAGTCCCGATTTTTGGGTCTTTTTCTTATACAGGCTCCTATTACCCCCCACCCCCGTCCCAATTTTTCACATTTGCTGTCTGGTCACCCTAGACTGTGGTCGGAGATCCTCATCCATGAAGATGATCTTCTGGTGAAGCTCTCGATCTTTGCGGGATCTCAGTCCAAGTTGTTGGCAGAGGGAACACTTTTGTTGAACATGCCCCCCCCACGGCAGCAAATGTATTGAGAGTGCTTGTCCGTGACCGGGATTGCCTTGCTGCAAGTGTGACGTTTTTTGATGCCCCGAGAGCCAGGCATACCCTTGTCCACAGGGGTCCCCCGCCCCCACCAGGGATGATGGAAGAACAAAGTCCTTTTTCTTTTCTTTTTTCTTCTTTTCTTCTGGCAGGGCCAAAATAAAGATAACGGAAGGCTAAAGAACTTTTAGAAGCTAAAAATTAACAACTGAAAGAAGAGTTAAGGATCTGCTAATGGTTCCGTCTCTAGTTGGGGCAGTAGAGAAAGAACGGAGGACGGTTAGCCTGACTAGCCTCGTCTAGCCTCGTGGCACAGCATGAGGATAGTACCGCATGTGTGAGCCCAACAGACACTGCTACCAAAGTTCACCAGTCAACAGCACAGGGACAGAGACACAGCTACAGTGCAGCACACATAGGGACACTACTCGAAGGAGAACTTTATTTGATCAACACATGGCCAATCATTATCTTGACCACTCTACTTATACTAAGCCAGACTCATCATTACTCATGTGAAGTAGTATCTTACCCCCACAAGCAGAGGAGTAACTGTGTTGGCCTTTTGCACAAAATTTAATTTCACCCTGAGTGAATCCAGCCCAAAGTCTAAAACTATCAACATTTTTACACAGCTGCCTTTTCACTATCTTAGTACTAACAAGTCCTCCCTCAGCAAATGCATGTAACGGTCACTCACCAGCAAAAGTAATTTTTTCCTTTTATTCAAAGTTACACCAGGCCCTCAATAGCATCTGTATTCCCAAGGATAGCGATAATAATTTTAGACAGATTTCCACACCACATACATCTCAAAACCAGGCTGTGACATTTAGCAAATAAGTCCCCTTCTTCTATAATAGATGAGAGATTAATTTCAACTCTCTCCCACATCATTCAGTCTTACTTCTTGGGCCTCGAATACAATGACATTATTCTGAACCACATTACATACGGAGCTGATATACCTGTCCTGATGCCTTCATCAGATGCTGCACTTTTCAGAAGGATTTTAATTTTCAAGAAAAACCCAGCTGGATGCATATTCTCCTGCATATTGAAAAACAATGACATTACATGAACAGCCAAATTATTTTTTGAAACTCAGAGAGCAATTTCAGCTGAATCCTATCAAGAGTCCAGCACATTCACAAACATGAAAGAATGTCAGGAAATTCTAGCCAGGACAGAGCCTGACACAAATCGCAAGTAAAAATTAGTAATAACCTAGTAAATAACAAATGTTAGAAAATGGTAAATGGTGCAAAATAAAAATGAAAAAATTGAGAATCTGAATAAATGGAAATTAAGCTATATAATTGTTTAAACAAATATATGGTAGCAAAAAGAAGAACCAAATTTTTAGTTCCAAATCAATATGTTTTAATGGTTACCAACCAATGATAACCAACCTTTGCTTAGGAAAATAATTAAAAACACAAATGCAAAACCAGATTAAAATCAATTATTTAAATCAAGGTTTCCTGCTTGCCAATTTAAATCATTATTAAAATTGGTGTCTTAAATCAATCGTTACAACCTCATTAGCCAGGCTTATAGCTCTGAGAGCCTTGTCTTGATACTGTTTGCAATCCCACTCCAAATAGACAGTGGCTAACAACCGCAGCACTTTAGCCTAGAAAGAAAAGACAAAGTGAATAATTAAACACAAATGAAATAACCAAAAAACAACATTTAAATATTGCACAAAGGAGTGGAAATAAAGGAGATGGAAATATAAGCTGTGAATAATATTCACTGTAAGCACACTGGGCCAGGGACTGTCTTCTCTGTTACTACAGGTACAGTGCCCAGCACAATGTGTTGTTCCTTGATTGGGACTGCTAGGCATTACCATCATATAACAATTGTATTCTTATCCCTTCTGAAGATTTGTCTTGACATGGTAAACTGGTTAAGTTTAGGTCAGGCTTAATAAAAGTGCTAACTAAGCCTGACCTAAACTTGACCTTTTTCCTTCTGTAGATGCAGGATAACCTTTAGCTCAATTTAGCTGGTCAAGTTCAAAGTTCATTTAAACTAGGAAAAAGATCAAGTTTAGGTCAGACTCAAAAACACACATTCACTAAACCTAACCTAACTTGACCACTTTTCCCAGTCAAGATGGAGCCTATGGGTTATAACGTAATTCTTCTCCGAATACACTAGCTGGAATATAGTATTAATGCACTAGCTTTACATCTGCATGAAAATCTAGGTTCAAATATGACTAAGGACACACACAGCAATGACTCGGTCTCAGACTCAGCCTAGGATCTAGTAGAGAATTATTTACACTATACTACCTTTCTGCGGGACTAAAATAGCAGGAAGTGCTAAAGATCAGGATGGATAACCACTGGCAGAGCTATGAGGGGAAGTCCAAGACGGGCACAGAGAGGCAGTGGGGGCTGCAGATCAAGACTGGCACTAATGACATCCTATTAGTCTGTGTGTAATTCAGAAGTTTCTGTATGTGTATTTCTTACCTGCATTTCTTCCCCGGGAGAATACTTCTTATCCATTTTCCCAATCTCATAGCTCTGGCTACAATTTAAAAGAAAAAATCAGAATTATATGGGCTAAGAGATGTAAGAAGAACTCAGTCAGCTTTCTGGGCTATGCAGCGAGCTCATACTTACCTTTTCCATTTCATTTATCGTTAGGAGCCACATAGAGCACACAGAGGAAAATATTAGCTAAAATAAATGGTGACAAGATAAAAGATCCTCTGATTGATATCAAAGCATCAGAAAATAATATCCTTTAATAATATCCATGAGACTGCCGACAGGGCACTTTACAGGAATGAAAATCAATAGAGATAGGACCAAGATATGTCAACTGTGTAAGCTGTGTCAGAAGCAGGCTCTAACACCTGCCAACACTTTTGAATGTCATATGGTAAAGAAAGTGATACTCTTCAAATTTAGCACTTTGGCTCAAGGTGTCCTTACAAAGGACACTGTAAGAGTAACTGAATTCATTCTTGAACTTCTCAGCCTGATATGATTATCATGGGACAAGATGACAAGACAGAGCACACAATCATACACAGTATTCACCATTATCTAAGAACAGAGGATTTAATTTGCCTTCTAAATCCCCAGATCTGAATTGCACTAAGTTCTTTCTGCTTTACTCAAGTTAGTTAATTAAGCTTCATAACCCCACTTTGAGGTAGATACGTAGTGCTGCCCCTTTTTTTACCGGAGTGGCTAGTCAAATTTCTGGGCCCTGGAGATGTTCCAGCTGGAAGTAGAAATTGATGGAGTCTAATATTTTCTTTAATGCAAACTTGTTTATCTACAAGGAATGTACGAAGTCCTGCTTCTCCAAACACAAGAGAAACCAAGAACAAAAGAATCAAATTCTTAGCTTGTACCCCGAAGTCTTTTTAGCCAACAGTCTGAAAAGCTTTCACTGGCTTTTCTCAGGTCATGCTGTGCTCACAGGCTACTGCATGGCTTTCTTGCTTTTTGTCTCTGCCTCTCTCTCTGTGTTGTTTGTTCTGTTTGTGTGTGCTATGCCTTCCCTCTCTCACACACACAATGTTCAGCAAAACCCCTCTTTCCACTCAGTCTAAACTCCTAGATGGGTTCACAACCCCATTTTGTCTTAGGTGAGGTGCTTCTGTTTAACATTCTGATACTCATGTTAACTACAGGGTGCATTCACAGCCTAAGCTCAAAGAGGTGTGTGACCCAAGCAGTCACCAATACCTCTCAGAATAACAGAATTATCATTCCCACTTTACAGATGAGGAAATTTAGGCCTGGTCTACACTAAAAAGTTAAGTCAACCCAGCTACATCACTCACGGGTGTGAAAAATCCACACTCCAGAGCAATTAAATTAAGCTGACCTAACACCCAGTGTAGACAGCACTAGGCTAATGGAAGAATTATTCTGTTGACTTAGCTACCGCCTACTGGGGAGGTGGATTGCCTGTGAAGATGGGAGAACCCCTCCCAACAGCATAGGTAGTGTCTATACTGAAGAGCTTACAGCGGCGCAGTTGCAGCAATGCTACTGTAATGTTTCAAGTGTAGACAAGACCTAAATCACATAGAATGTAAGTAACTTGCTTTCAAGGTCATGGCAAATCAGTAGCAGAGCCAGAAACAGAACCTAGGAATCTCAATTCCCAGTCCTTGTTCTAAAAACTAATTCACAGTATAAAAGGCCTCTGAGGTGAATGCCTGTGGGGAATTCCATAAAACTGAAGGTAGGTAACAAATGGGACATGGGCAAATAAAACTTTAGGGATGCAAAAACAAATTACATCTGTGGGCAGTGGCGGATTAGCCAAGGGGCCCCAGCCAATTGGGGGGCCCCGGAATAATGGGTGCCCTGCCCCCAGCAGACAAACACCAGGGCAGGATGGGGGAAGTCTCCATGCCCCGACCCCTCTCCCCAGCGGGAGCACCGGGCGGACGCAGTGGAGCAAGCCCCACACCCCGACCCTGCTCTGCTCCCTGGCAGCAGTGCTGAGCAGGTGGGGGAAGCCCCCATGCCTGACCCCGCTCTGCTCCCTGGCAGCAGCGCTGGGGTGGGGGGGAAGCCCCAGTGCCCCGGCTCCACTCCCCGTTAGAAGCCCCAAGCAGCATGGGAAGCTCCAGTGCCAAGACCCCGGCTGCCATCCTGGAACTGGAGGAGCTCTGGCCCCTTGCTGCAGCCTCAGAGCTGGGAGAGCTCTCACTCCCCACTGCGGCCCCAGGGCCCTGTGGGGGGGGACATAGCTTCTCCAGTCTTGGGGCCACGGGGATGGGGGGTAGAAAGGAGCAAAGGAGGGCTGCAGTGAGCGGGTGGAATGGGGAAGGACCGCGGGTGGAACAGGGGAAAGGGACAGAATGGTGTGGGACCCTGGGCAGGGTCACAGGCAGAAGGTGTGGGGAGGGGGGCCCCCCCATGTGCTCTGGCCCAGGGCCCCATGAAACCTTAATCTGCCTCTGTCTGTGGGAATTTATTCCCAGAGTTGATATTTTCTCAGTATGAGATAACATTAATCCCACTAGATGGTGCTATAACATTCTATCCAGGCAAATGTTTGTGCTTTGCAAAGGTTAGTTCGGTACTCCAAAGATTTTCTCACTGGTGTTTGTGAGCACTTAGTATCCCATCTTCTAAGTACAGGGAACAAAATAAAGAGATGCTCTCCAAAATATCAGTTTTAACTAACCCTAGGGTTACCATATCTATTAAATAAAAAAAGAGGACCCTCCACAGGCCCTGACCCCGCCCATTTCCCCACCCCAACTCCACCCCTTCCCCGCCCCCTCCTCCCTCCCACTCCCAGCCACGGGGAAAGGGCTGCCCCAGCGCTACCGGCTTCATGGTTTGCCGGGCAGCCCCCAGACCCTGCGCCCCCGGCCAGTGCTTGCCCAGCGCAGCTGGAGCCCGGGAGGGGAAGCGCCCAGCCGGGGG